TATTTTAATAAATATATAAGTAAAACCTTAAACTCTTGTGGAGACAATTATTCCAAAAAGTCTACATGCATCTACCCATATATAATTGGAGAACAATATAAAATTGCTTTATATTTTATATTGATGATGCATCATCATTAAACTTTTTATTATATCACAGAGAATAAATGTGAATGTGATTCATAAAAAATGATTTTATTTATTATTCAAGATAATATATTCTACTTATTCTCGTTGTATGAAAAAACTTTAACAAATTGGATTCTTTAGTGAAAATGCTAATTCATAAACCTTTTGAAAAAGAATATATCTCAAATATTATGTGTCCATGTTCTAGATGAAATACTAACAATATATTGGTGCAAAGCAGAGAAGTTAGCCATATGAATTTTAGCCATCAGTTGTGGGACAAGTGATCCAAAAAGCTATCTGCAATGAGCGAATCAGCTTAAGGCGGCTTGCCTCCGGACCTTAGCCTTATAACACACTGGAATAATTGATTAACTCTGGTAGATGTCCACAGGTATAAATCACTGTCAAACTCTCCATATATGTTTATGTAATATTCCACACCTTAAACATGTACCATAGGCAAGGCATCAATTCCTAAAGCTTCTTAGAGTAATGCATCACTTGTTGCTAGCTATGATATGAATAACCAAGTTATATATATATATCCTCAATGTGTCTGTCTTCAAGGTGAAGCTTTTACAGTAAAAAGCATTGGATTCTCCAACAAAAATCACTTTTAGTTTTTCATTATTGTAAGATTCATTCATAATGGATAAGACAAAATGTGCCATATGCTTTGGCCATATGGAGTATTAAGATGTGGGACGTGCTATATATATTCCCCTAATCACAGCCCTCATTCAAAGGAACCAGCTTCTGTTATTGCAATCTATTCTATAGTTTCTGATGCATATGTTCGTCTTGCCCTATTTAATTTACCGTAGAGATTCCTTATGGTAATACCCTTTACATCCAACATATCATATAACAAAACTTACATACAGTACTATACATATTATCTTGGGAATTTGCGCGTATCCTGCAGATAAGTTCTTGAGGTCAATGTTATCATACGTCTCAGAGAGATTTTACTAACGTATTTGTTCAGTGTTTCATATTACTCATTGTTGCGTCTATCATATTTTAGACAACACAATAAAATTTACATATAGTGCTATAAATATTATTTTCTATCGGTATTAATTTTTATCAAAATTAAAATTTTATCTTAATAATATATACTGAAATATAATTAAAAAAATTTATTATATTTATTTTTATGATAAAATTTTAACTCTAATTAGATAAGTGCATCGATGATACTCGGTATAATTTTTGCAGCCGCAACTAAGAGTGGTTCACAAGATATATGTTAAAGCATGTATGTGTGTGGGCCATTAGTCTGGCAGCCACTGTTAGGTGAACATACATGGAATTAAAGATGGCAACATACTTTGATGAATAAGTGTTCAAAGTACAGGATTTGAGAAAAGCGAGGGAGAGAGAGAGAGTGAGGATTTGAGACTACAGAGAAAGTAGAGAATTTTTTTCTGTTGTGTGGGCTTTAATCCCCGGCAGAGTACTTCAATATTATAATGGTAATCTACTAATCTTGTATAACAATGAAGACCAATTTTATATTATTATCAGTCTAACATGAATTTGTGTAAAGCCAATAATGCCAATTGCCAATGTCAAGATATCCATATCTTATTTTAAAGAAATAATCTTTTTTTTTTCTTCAGCTTCGTGAATCGAATGATGCATATATTTGAAGTTTAAGCTATCCAAATTAAGTACACTATTAAATGCATGGGTAGGGATGGCAACGGCCACGAGTGAGGTCGGATACGAGTTTTATGATACTCGTCTTCGTTCCCGTTCTCGCGAGTTAAACTCATCTCGTCTTCGTACTTGTACTTGTTGAGTATATAATTTTCATCCTCATCTTCGTCTCTGTCGAGTATTAAGTATACCTATACCTGTATCTGTCAAATTTTTTATTTTTTATTTTTTTTAAATATAATATTTTTAAATTATTTTTTATTATATTATATTTATAATTAGGTTATTTCTCTATCTCACATTATAATAAATAATTACACATAATAAAATATTAAAATTCTTTAGCATAATTAAATTGAAAGTGAGTATTAAATTAAGAATGAAAACAGGGATGGGTATGGGACGGGTAAATACATACCCGTACCTGTACCTAGGCATGGCAATCTAACCC